CTCCTTGTCCTCTCCCTCCCCTCCTCCTTGTCCTCTCCCTCCCCTCCTCCTTGTTCCCCCCTCCCCTCTTCATTGTCCTCCCCCCTCCTCCTTGTCCTCCCCAGCAAACACACATCAATATACAACTACTACCTACCACCACTACTACAACTACTACCTACCACCACTACTACAACTACTACCTACCACCACTACTACAACTACTACCTACCACCACTACTACAACTACTTCATACCACCACTACTACAACTACTTCATACCACCACTACTACAACTACTTATACAATTACTACAACTACTTCTACTTCTACTACTACAACTACTACTAAAACAACTACTACAACTACTACTTACAACTACTTCTACAACTACCACTACTACTACTACTATAACTACTTCTACAACTACCACTACTACAACTACAACTACTACTACAACTACTTCCAAGGAACAACGTCTAGTATGAATAACGGAGAGTGCTATGTTGAAAGAAAGAAGAATTTACGAAAAGAAAATCGAACAGAGATATTGTTATACAGAGATTATTAAGCAGAGATCACAAGAGACAGAGAAATTGTTATGTGGAAAGATAAAAGAATGCATTAAAAAAACCCTCCATCAATTAGAGATAGTGTTTACAAAGATTGTAATGTGGAAAGAACAAAAAAAAAGAATGCACGAAAAGAACATCAAACACATAAAAGAATGTATGAAAAGTTTTGTCACAGGAAAAATACAAGCACATGCATTGTCAAATACAGAATATCAAACCAAAAAAAATCAGCACATTTCCCTCAATCAAGCCATAATAAAAAAACAAACAAACAAACAAGCAAACAAACAAAACAAAACAAAAAAGAGCCATCTATTTTTTAAAAACCAGGAAAATGACATGCAAAATTTTCTAAGATATTATCATTCAAGTCTATTACTGACACTGATAATATCCAATAATAATATATAAAACTGCACAATGACACTGTTCAAGACGACTAATTTCCTCAACAAAGGCAGGTCATCTTGAACAGGTTCGACTGTATTGTTGAACAGAGATTTTGTCAAAGAAAAATACATGCACATGCATTGCCAAATACAGTCAAAGAGAAAGACGGCTAAAGGTAAAGGCAACGACAACAAAAAAGACCATGCAACCC